AACCCATTCAAGAATTTCTAGTTAAATTTTTTTTCCTCCTGCAGAACTGGGAATTGAACCTGCTGGTGTTCAACCACTGAACTACATGCCCAGACCTTTTAAATTTTTTTTTTAAATTTTGAGATGAAGTCTAGGTTGCCCAGGCTGACCTGAAACTTGTAATCCTCCTGCCTCAGAATCCCCAGTAGCTGGGATTATAAACAGGTGTCATCACACCCAAATTCTAGTTAAATATCCTGTAAATCTAACTGCACCAGTGCGTACATTCAGTCAAGATGTAATGCTAATATCTGGCATGCCCTGAAGATAAACTGAACATTATAATAACAACTATCATCTACTAAGCATCTACCCTGTGACAGATACCATATAAGGTGTTTTATAAATATTTCTCTAATTTTTAGAAGCATCTTTTAGGATTATTTATATTTTGCGGATGAAAAAAATGGAAGTCATGTGTTGAAACTTGTTTTGTCATAACTAGCAGCTATTAAAAGTTAGGTTTCAAACAAAGGTGGCTATTTCATTGTATCATCAGAGAAAAGTCTTCTAGGTAGCTGTTTTAGATCTAAACAAATAATTCTCAAATTGGAATGTGGTTTGGTCTTGATTATGGAAAAGATTTTAGGTTTTCAATGACCACAAGTCCAAAATCATAATACTGTCTAGTAATCATACATTCTCCTATCAGTTTTTCTTATGCCACACTCACCTTGCCCCCTATCCGGACCTGAGCCTGAAGTTTGGCTAACTTTTCTTGATTCATGCTGTTGGTAAATCTAGGGGGGGAAAAATAGATTTGTTAAAGACACTGTTTTATGAAAATTAAAGAAAAAACTGTTTATACAAACAGTACCTTTTGGCTCACTGAGTTTGCAGTATGCATTAACACCACAACCATATTAATACTGTCTATATTCATAATAAATACCTTGTTCTAGCTTCATAAACCAGGTATTGCTAAAAATCAAAATTAAAGTAATACCACAGGGAGCCAAATACACAAACAGAAAAAAAGAATGGGATTCAAAGTCACCTATTTGAAGACTCCTCCTTAAAAAGTGATTCAGTTCTTCGGCATTCAGTAAAATCTAGCCAATTACAAAATCTCTGTAGGCAAGCCAGTTTTTCCTCCCAAAGATTTTTAGAGCGGAGAACTGTTACCAAATATTATCAGCAAAACCTTCAAGTAAATAATTTTCTCCCACATCAAAATCTGTATTTCCCAAATCATAAAGAGGACAAAAGGGGTAGGGAGAAGGCTAGACAAAGATGAAATTCAACAATAGGCTGTTCTAGCTGTCAAAATATGTAGTCATGTCCTCTATTCAAGGTCGGATGTTGTGTTAATAATGGGGAAACAAACCAGATTTCAACATTTAGTACTTCTATAGCACTCCAGAATTCATTTAATACTTTGTGCTGATGTAGTTAGTATACCACACTTGTCAAAATATTCTTGAATATAGGGGAAAATATTTCACTGCACAATTTAACAAAAACATATCTAGGTTACATGAATACTAAATTGGTGGGAAGGGCAACTCAAAGTTTTTATAGCAATTTTTGTTTTGAAAGTTCTAAAAGCATTATAAAATCATGAATTCTAGTTTCATCAATAATATTCCTACTAAGGAAAACAACATTCTTAAGTTTATGATGGATCTTAACACACAACAAACAAATAAAAGCCAATTTAAAAGTCTTGTTTGACTTGTTCTGAAGCTCAACAGATCATTACTGAGATGTGAGGAAGGGAAAAAAGAACTAGGCTGTTATTAAATCTTTTGGGGCAGATTCTCCAAACCCAGTATGATCTTGCCATTTAGATAAAAGATATTGTTTTCTTCCTTTGAGATGAAGAGATGAAAAGATTATGTAATTACTAGTTACTCTGTACTGACATTGAATTTAGGCACTAACCTCCCTGCATCTCTGCTTTAAGGCTAAATAAAGTCCAGTTCCCAAATAACAATTAGAATCTATTATTTCTTTGTTCAGCATTGTATCACAATGATCAAGAAGCTAAAAACACTCTTCTAGGAACAACTGTGTTTGGAGTCCAAAACAAGCAACCTTATGCATATGCCAATCTTAGCTCTGCCATAGACTTAAATTTGCTGACGTAAATCCTAATCTTTATATTTAGATCTCCACAGGAATGGACCAATATTCACTTTTTTCAAAGTAATGTGGCTTTGAAGGTGTAGTGAACTAACAGAGCTTAAGGAATTTCTTGCAAAAACGGGGCTAAGTGAAAATATTAAAATCAAACACAGAATAAACCCTTTGGGACTTTTCTTCATTTTTAAGTAATAATCCTCAAGAGAAGAAATAGAGTTGGGAAGATAAGAAAGAGTCCTGACTTGTTTGAAACAAAGAACCACATTAACTCTTTAAATCAATGTGTAGATGAAAGAACAGATGCCATTCCAGGTGGTTAGGATAACAGAATTGCAAAATCTTATCCTCAAGGAGTATCTCAGAGAAAAAGCATTATAGGCAAGTTGGAAGCTCAAAGCAGAAGTGAAGGAACAAGTATGGTCTTTTGTCTTATTAGCAAATTGTGGTGTGTGGAATTCAAGAGGGAAAGGTGATTGGACTGTCTTTGAGAGAAGAGATGTCAAGCTTAGCATCTGGAGTAGACTTCAAAGATTACCTGATTTAATTCCCTTTTCTTTAATCCATCTTAATTAGTACCTGTCATTCCTGTCTTATATATATGAGGACAACAGCGGGGCATAAATTATAAGCAGTTCAGCGTTTTCCAATTTAATAGAAAAAGAAGGCCTAGAGGTAGCAGTTCCTTTCTGCAACCGAAGGGAGAAGTAACTTCCTTTGGTCACATGATAATGAGTTCTTCCTTGGGAGATCTGAGGATCTTTTAGCACTTTTCTTAGGAGTTCAAAAAAAAATGAGGTTAATCAATACTTAACCTAAGTAACCTAAGTTACCTAAGTTCCAAGCATTGTGGTAGGCATTTTCACATACATCATGTTTACACAGGGATAAAAATAATTTCAACCTTTAGTCTCAACTTTTTATTATGAGATTTCTTTAAGCACAGGCTGTAGAATCAAAGACACTGGGTCTACTCTACTTAAGGCTTCAGAAAAGTATTTTACTTTTTTGAACTTTTGTTCCTCCTGCATCAGGAAAGGTATAACACATGCTTCACAGGGTTGTTTTGAGGGTTAAAGGTAGATTATCAAGCACAAGATATGGCTCAGAGAAATATACTCAATAATTGGTAACTATTGTTACCATTCCCGAGGGGATAGCTAAGGTATAAGTGAAATAACGTGGGAAGGGAAGTTGAAACCGCCATTCACTAGCTGTATACCACTGTGCCTGTCGGTCAATCATCAAGAAGTGATGGGGTTATAAGGATGGGCTAGTCAACGTCTCAAAAGGGAGGCAGACTTGTAAACAAATTCTGCCATTATAAGGTGATGAGCCCTGCAAGAGAGTCCGGTTCTCCGGGCAGGGGGCGGGGTGCTAACCTAGGTTTCCCTATCTGTAGACTGGAAGCATCAACTGAGATGACAACAGATAAGCTGTATAAGCTCAAAACATATGACATTGTTGTTGTGAATAACGAAGAGTAAGGGGACAGAGGAGAGGGGGTCCACCGGCCTCCTGGGACTGGATTTGGGCGGCAAAAGCACCGTCCCGCTCTCACAGGGGGCGTTGGTGCTGGGGACCTTCCCTCAGGTGCCGACCCCCAGCTGCGCCGCCGGTAACCGACAGGCCAAGCCAGCCGCCTCCGCCCCCACTCGCCGCGCCACGGCGGAAGTGGCAGCCCGAGCGGTTGGCGGGTGTCGGAAGAAGAGGGCGGGGGGAGATCGTGCGCAGCGGCCTATGGCCGTGGAGTGGCGGGACCGCCGGGGGTCTCACCTGAAGCAGGGAGGGTCCTCCAACACCAGCACGCGGCAAGAGCAAGATGGCTGCCTCAGCCGAGACAGAGAAAGACGGCGGCGGCGGGAGCGAGGCCCACGTGACACAGTCAGCCCCGCCTCTCCTTCCCCGGCGGCCTATCTCGGGAGCGCGCATCCCAACTACAAAACCCAGCCTGCTTTGCGCACCCCAAAATTTCTATTGGCGGCAGGTGCCGGGTGCCGCGCTGCATCCTGGAGCTTACAGTTTCCCAGGCGTTCCATTGTGTCGGTACTTAGTTTGTGGAGAACCTAATAAAAGGGCGAAATGATTTTGTTTGTGTAGTTTTGTTCTGGTGCTTTTCACTATTAATTAAGTATGTACTGTTGGACTCAAACTAATAGAAGAAAGATGGGAGATTTTGGCCTGTTATGCAGTAGAGGCCGAAAATTAAAAAGAAATATTTAATCCACAACAAAAATAGATTTAATCTGAAGAAGCTTTACATTTTAAATGCCTACAGTAACATGACCTGGTTCCCTTGGAACATTTAGTTTTGCAATAAGAAGCCCCAACTCTGTTTTTCTTGGAGCTTGTATTAGTTGGTTGCATCCTCCTTAGCGTGAAAGTGAAGTGCATGCCTGCAAAGCAAGAGACAGTTGAATGCAGAATGGGTTTATCAGGAGACCTGAGCAGGAAATTAATTAATTCCGGTTGTCCGATTTTTCTTACTTGCGGTGGGGGAAGGGAAATTCGAGGCCAATAGGCGACTCACCCACTGTTGGGAGAGGTTGACCTCACGAATCAATAATTTGCGTTTTGAATATTAAGTACAGCGGTTCTGGGGGCGGGGGAGGCAGGGGGAGGGGTTAGTCTGACCGGCAGACTTAGTCCACAACGGTTCTTCCGAACCTCTCCCTTACCCCCACCCCCACCGTCTCAGCCCACCTTTTTCCGCTCGGTCCTGAGGCCTCGACTTACAAGACCCTGAGAAGGCAGATCACGCTCGAGAGCATTTCCCGAACCCTTCTACGTGATCTGCACCTTTAACTCCATCCCAAACCGGACCCCGGAGGCACCACCCACATCCGTCTAACATCACTTCCTTCAGAGTTTGGAAAAAAAAAAATCTGAGAAAGAGAGGGTCTGGGCTGACCCCGCTCTAAGGAAAAGAAACGGATCTCTTGCGGTGACTCGGGCCCTGTGTCGGGTCAACCCGGTGGTCCCGCGCACCTAGCACCATGGAGATGTGGCCTCGTCTCGGGGCCACCTGTTTGCTGGGCTTCAGTTTCCTGCTCCTGATCACCTCTTCTGACGGACACATTGGGCTTGGAAAGGGTCAGACTGCATTCTTATCTTAATCTTTACTGATCCGGGGCCCCAACCGAATAGGACCCTTCCCTTGTCTAACACTGTTCCCCTCGGGTTTTCTTTCTTAGGCTACGCCAGATTTCTTTCTTTTTTTTTTTTCTTCCGCAACCGCACCTAGAGTTTTGACTATTTCTTGGGGTAGGGAGTAGTGAGTTCGGGAAAGGTAAGATGGGGAAGTTATACTTAAGGTCTCTATTAATTTTTGTATTGGGGGAAGAAATAGTCTGTAAATTAGAAAAAGCATGTTTAAGAGCCCAGCGTAGTGCTGGGCACTTGGTAGATCCTCAGGAAAGGTCACATTCCCTTCCTAAAGAAATAGCGTCCTCGGGAACCTACTGTGTCGAGATTCCAGCCTTGGATCTGAAGATTCCTCACTCTTCCTTGAAGAGCTAGGCTACTGCCTCCTTGCCCTGGGAGATGAAAAGAAAAGGGCCAGATGAAGTATAGAAGTTCTGCTGTTAGAGGGCCACCAACAGTTGTCTTCGGTGTGGTTCAGCCAGTGTGTCTAGAGAAACTGATTTTTATTTTTTATTTTTCTGAGGGAATGATCGGTAGTTACGAATGGAGGTTAGTATCCCAACTCCATCCCATTACCTACATCTTCATTCACAATTTGAACACCTTTCTCCTCATCAGCTCTTTCTTGGTTGAAAGTTGGATCCACTGAACTCAGGGTTTATGCTTTTCTAAGGGGGTTAGTTATACTTGGATCTCACCCCCTCTTCCATTTTTTTTTTAACTGACCTGACTATATGGAATGATTCTGCTGGAATATTTTTTATTGTTTTCTCTTATCCTCCTTATCTTTACATTCCTTCATGGGTAAAGACATTCTGTGGACTTTCAGTGGACTGAATGCATCCATTTCTTCCTTCAGTATGTAATTTTTGATCACCTACTATATTTCTGGCATTGTCCAAGGCACTATCAATGAACTGGACAGATAAGATTCCTGCTGTCATGGAGCTTATATTCAAGTCAGAGAAAGTAGTGTAGACTCATTGACAAATTAATAAGACAATTTCAGCTGGGCAAATGAAACTGTGATAGAGTAGGAAATAGTAGAAAGGTTTAGGAGGATGAGGGAGGAATTAACTGAGTTAGGAAGATCAGGGAAGGGTTTTCTGAGGTTTCCATCTCAGTGATGAAGCCTGCACAGTGAATTCCATTAGGCCAGAATGTTTAAAATACACTAGTAATATTTGCAGAATGTTCTTAATCCCATTGTAAAATAGGTTACTGTTTATTTAGAATAAAATATTAAGTACCGAGGAAGACGGAAGACTATGGTGTTAGGATGTGAGTTTAGCTCCGAATTTTAATGTGTTCTGACACAAAACCAGTTGCCTTGTCTCTGGGTCAGGAATTTGAATGAGTCACAGTTGGGGAATATTTCTCTCTTCCATGATGTCAGGGGCCTCAACAGACTGGTTATTTCTCTCTGTGGTCTTTCTGCATGGGCTAGGGTAGGCTTCTTCCCCATTATGGTAGCTGGATCCCAATAATGAGTGACCCAAGAGAATAAGATGGAAATGCATAGCATTTTTATTATCTAACCATATAGGTCATATGGCATCACTTCTACTATACTCTGTGGGAGCAGGTTCAAGTGGAAGGAACATTAACATCTATACATGAAATAGGAGGCACACTGAAGTCACATTTGTAAGAGGAGCATGTGAGATGGAAGGTTTTATTGTAATTATCTTTGGTAAATATTATCTGCCACAGTGAGCCAGGACCATTTCAGCCTTGTTAATGCTCAAGAATATTTGTTGCAAGAAAAAATGAATGGTAAATATGATTGTTATGTCCCCTGTACTTTTAAAAACAAGTAAGTAGGCAGTTATATGACAACATATATGGACTTTGAGAAGGAAAATACCAGATAACTGCAGCAGTACATAGAACGACAACTCAGGGTAGGGGGGTTGGGTTTTGAGAATTCAATGAAAAAAAAAAAAACATTTAATATTGTGTCACACACTTAAATGTTAACTGGCATTATTTCCTCCCATGGAAGAATGTTTAATTATTCCTTAAAGGAATTATAATACTTCAGTTTTTTGTTGTATGTATTTATTATACATGGATTCTTGGGACATAGATTATACCCCACTCACCCCCCACCCAAATGCTACCTGAAGCAGTAGTTCCTGAAAATTTTGATGAGTGAGATTTCTTATCTGTTAGATGTTTCAGTATCTCTGACTCTTTTCAGAAGATGGCCTTGTGATTTGCAGAGAGGAGAGAATGAGTGTCCCCACTGTTTTAAGAAAGCACAGTGGTGTGGAGTAAGCACTACATAGGCATGGGGAGGCCTGGATTTTAATCCTCTCCTTGCAGAGGGAGAAACTAGAAAGCTGTCAGTAGCGGCAGTTTGCTCTCTGGCGCAAAACATATAGATGATTTTGTCAAGTCTTTAGGATAAACATTTGGCACTAATACTTACAAAGTATTTACCTTCCACTTGGTATCCTGTTCACTTTCACAGCAACCCTGTGGGATTAATATTTTCGTTAGCCATATTTTGCATTTGTGAGAATAGTAAATGGCTGAGCTAGGATTCTAACTCCGGTCTGTCTGACCTTTTGTTATTCAGGTTTTATCTGCTGGGAGAGGGTGGATAATACTTTTCTTATGTCTTTAGCTTACACTCATTAAAACACTTTTTAGAATGAAAAGCTTGGAAATGCTGATATAAATGCTGTATTTAGAAATGGTTGCTTTGCCTTTTTAACTGTTTTAGGAGAAGAACTGCTGGCATGGGAGACTTTAGCTTACTTTACAGAAAACTGGCATAAATTAAATGGCTATGCAGCTGACACTTTAGGAAACTGGACTATCTTCAGGTGTTCCATGCTGGCATAGGAGTGAGTGTGGGTGGTTCTGGGGAGTGGATGATTTTAGTAACAAGGTAAAGTAGTGCACCTGTATAAATTCTTTTTGAAGGAGAAACCAAAGAACTCAAGTTTTACATAATTGAAGTCAGTATTCTCATTGTGCTTTGGTGAAGGTTCATTCCTTCATTCATTTCTTCATTTAACTTTTGCTACAGAAGCAGTAAAGTGCAGTGAATATTTATAACTACAGACTCTGAAGTCAACCCATATTTTAGTTCCAGCTCTGTCACTTACAGGCAGTGTAAGGTCAAGCTATTTAACTTAAGTTTCCTTATCTGTAAAAAAGAGGTAGTTAGAGTTTGTACCTCAAGGTTATTGTGAGAATTAAATAAGTTAATACATGTAAAAGCATTAAAAAAGTATCAGGGGGCTGGGATGTGGCTCAAGCGGTAGCCTGGCATGCCTGGTTCGATCCTCAGCACCACATACAAACAAAGATGTTGTGTCCGCTGAAAACTAAAAAATAAATATAAAAAAAAAAAAGTATCAGGTACATAATTAATGCCATGTAGGTATTAGTCATTATTAATATTGTTATTATCATTATACTATTAGTATCATTATAATTATCACCTAAACTAAGCATTCAATAAGTGATGATAGGGCTGGGGATATGGCTCAAGCGGTAGTGCGCTCGCCTCTCATGCATGCAGCCCGGGTTTGATCCTCAGCACCACATACAAACAAAGATGTTGTGTCCGCCAAAAACTAAAAAAATATATATATAAATTCTCTCTCTCTCTCTAAAAAAAAAATAAGTGATGATAGTAGAGTGTTTGTATTATACCTCTTAGGGGTATACTTCTTAGGGGTATTGCAATAGATCAGCTTGGGAAGTGTTGGGATACTGGAAAAGCCTGCTAATTAGAAATTAGAAGACCAAAATTTCAGATGGCTTCTGTATTTTTCTAGAACTCAGTAAAGTGAGAGGGTTGGAGTAATTGGTCTCTAGGATTGTGACATTTTAAATGTATTAAATTTAACTTATTAAATTTAAATAAACTTAACTTATTAAATTTAAATAAAATTAAAAACTGAGGTCCTTAATGAACTTAGCCACATTTCATGTATTTAGTTGCCACATGTGGCTAGTGGCTACCATATTGAGTAGCACAGGTACAGAGCATTCCAATCATTGAACAGTGGTGCTTTGGTGTCTCTATTAACAACAATCTCCCCAACTGTAAGAATTATCACCTAGCTTCTGGGTAGCCCAGGTTTGTGGAGAAACAGTGTAATCTGATGTTAATCTAACTTCCTTGATTTTCTTTTGGTTGGCATTTGCCTGTTATCTGTTTCTGAATTACACCACCATTGACTTTTGCAAGTCCTGTTTTAGGTATATCTTTATAAACATCATAAAGGTAGTTCGGATTTTTTTTTTTTAAAGCTAAATCTGACAGTTTCATCTTTTAACTTTAATTGGTGAGTTTAGTCCACTTATATTTGTTGTTATTATTGACAGCTGCTCTTTTATCCAGTTTCCATCTCTACTACTATTTTTCCTATGCTTTTTCCATTTTTCCCCTTTTTTTGGAGGTTGAGCATTTACATGTTCTTATTTTATCTCCTTTATTAGTTTGAAATTTGGTACTCTAGTCCTTTTACTAAATACTCTTGAATTTTACTATCTTAATTCCCCCAATGGTAAGGGTGCCTTAGAATATTAAGCTTCAGTCAGCCCCTCTTTACTTATAAGCAGTTGTTCAGTAATTTAGTTCAGTTTTCTAAAACTATGAATTGGGCTTTACAAATTTTTATGAATATTTAGATTTAACTACATGTTTACCCATGTACTTGTTCACTATTCTTGTATATGGGTTTTTTCCTGATATTTCCTATCTAAAATGTATCCTTTAGCTATCCTTGTAGTTTTCTCTCGTAGGGCACTATTTCATTCTTTCTCCTGTATGCAAATCTCCAATACTTTTCCACAATGTTTATTTTCAGTTAGTGACCATATTCCCATTTAATAGAACATAAAGGGGGATCATAGGAGGCTTCCAAAAATTCTCACCATTTCATTTACCCACCAGTACTTCTTTTCCTGTTACTTGATAAATC